CGCTCGATGTTGTACTCAAAGTAGCGCGGCAGCATGACAACCGAATGCGTCACTATGAAGCAGCAAAGGGCCTGCGAGAGAACAAACATGCGAGAACCGCAAGGCAACCCATGCACAATCAGCAAGCAATGCAATGCGGAACGACTTTTCAAACTCAAGGCTAGATGCCGCGACAAAGCGCGCAAGGTGTTTCGGCACCTGTTCACCGCCGTTGATCACGTGCGCATCTGCAATGGAAGTGTCCTGGTTGACGTCTCACACAAGGAGAAAAACACTTCCGTCCATGATGTAGAAAGGCATGGCAGTAATGCTTGCATCTTGTAGTTCTGGACCGTGTTGCACGAGTAGACCTTTTGGGAGTGAACACGGGAATATTGCTCTGCAGTGGTTGATGCGGTAGTGTTCAATGCGCGAGTGCGCTTTGGAGTGCGCGTGAGGCTCCGAAGATCATCAGCACTGAGTTGGTCGGCACTGCGAACTGACCGACGTGTGCGTTCAGAGGTGCCGGGCAGGATTGTCCTCGGGGGGTGAAGTGGTTGAAGTCCGTAATGAGGGCATAAACTGTGGGTGAAGAATCTTCGGTGGCGGTGGTGGTGGTGGAGGTGGAGGAGGTAGAACCAACTGTGGCGGAGGTGGCGGTGGTACCGGCATTCGCAATAGCCTTTCCACTTGAACTCCCGATAGGCGATCATGAAGTGAGGGTCCGTGATACAGTGATACTGCAACCACGTCGGCTGCACTCCATGGGTCCAGGTTATGAACGTCTGCACATTTTGTTCCATCATGACTTGAACACTCAGGACAGCAAGACAAGGCAAGAAAGACAACAAGTCCGAAGCAATGCACAACCACGCAAAAGAATTTTGGTCGCGTAGCCGGCAGCTCGGAGACAGACCTTACTCTGTCCTCATCCTGTATGATGTTGTTTCAGTGCGGCATGAGGCTCCTGTAGACTGTTTCCCAGGATTTCTTCCACTTGGCTGGCTCAGGAAAGACTAGCTCCGCAATGCAGGGAAGCGTGCAGCACAGAACGTCATCGATCATGATGGCAATTTCCTCAATCCGACTGCCGGAGCGAAGCACAAAGCGATGGCTGCCCAACGAAGGCGCTGAAGTCCGAACGGGAAGATGAATCAAGTCCACCGTGGCGGACGCCACCTGGCATACTGGCGGAATGGATGGCGATCGAGGTCGCCTCCGATCATCTTGAGTTCGAAGGCCGGTCTGGGTCCATTCACCCCAGTCATCTTCATCTTCCGAGTGTCCAGGCGTAAGTCTACCTCGGGATCGGCGGGGAACTGGTGACCGGGATCGCCGCACTGTTGCCTGGCCCTGCGTCGCCCGGATGCTGCGTGAGGAACTGTGTGCTTGAACATTGCGTAGGTGCACCAGGCCATGCGTCTGGACAAAGAGTTGCACCTCATTGCCGTTGATGAAATTCGGGAATTGGTCGAGGGTGACCTGGCTGGTGGTCTGCACTGTCCCGTCCGGGCGCAGAATCCGAGCCAACTACGCACATGCGTGCACACACCAGCAAGCACACAGACAAAGAGGCAACAAGTGCAAAAGCAACGAGGCAACATGCTAATTTTGATGCAACTCGTCGCCGGACATCACGTAGGAGATGAGGATTGAAGCCTTTG